ACTTGTTTGAAACCTCTTTTTCCATGACGGAGAAGGAATTACTTACCACACATGCCATGAATATTTATCACTTGCTATTAACAGTGATCTACTTAAATGGCTTCTGTTCCCACCTCTCCACCAAAATAGTTCCTGTTAAGTTCACCAATAAATATCAAATTGCCAAAACCGATGGTCACTTTTCTCTCTTTTTGGCCTCTGATCTCTTTAGAAACACTAGATACAAACAAATGACAGCTCCCTCCCCTCCTTGAAATACTTTCATGCTTTTTGTGATACATTTCCCTGGTTTTTCCTCCTATCTCGCAGGCTTCTCTTAGCTTCCTCTATTTGCTTTCTCTCCTTGAAATGCACTGTAAATGCTGGTGTTCTTCAGGCTGGGTCTCACAGCCCTTCTCTTTCACCCTCTACACTCTCCCTCTTAATCATTTCAATAGTTTTAAACACCAACTACACTGAAGAAGCTGCTTCCTAAATGAGTATCTCCAGCACAGACCTCTCTGGAATTCCTTATACCCAACTTCCTTCTTGACATATCCACTAAAATGCCTGACAGGTATTTCAGATTTAACATGACCCAAAGCAAACTCTTAATCTCACCTAAATCTGCTTCATCTTCAAATTCATTCTCTCTAGTTTTTCCCATCTCAGAATACAGTTTCACACCCCCATCAATTCAATTACTCATATCATACCTCAGAGTCATTCCTGTCACTTCCTTCTCCCTTAACTATCACATCCAATCCACCATCAAATACTGTCAATTCTACTTCCAAAGCATAGCTCAAATATATCCACTTCCTGCCAACTTCACTATCACCACCAACCCAGACTAAGCAACTCTACTGAATTTCTGTAGCAGCCTAACTCATTTGCAAGTTTCTCTCAGCCCAACTGCCCCTATAACCTACTGTCTTCACATAGAGCCAAAACATGATCTTTTTAGAATGAAAATAAGGTCATATCACTCCTCTGCTTAAAACTTTCCAATGACCACCAATGCACTTTCTCCATATCATAGTTTATAGGAGTCTTTACCTACACTTTTTTCAACTTCATCTCTTACCATCCTCGCCCTATCCATTCATCATACTTCTTAAATATGCCAAGTTCTTTCAGACTCAGGACCTTACACACACTACTCCTATTACTTGAAATGCCCTACACCCACACTCCTTCCTTTCCATTTCTCCACTTTTGATCACCAATAAACATTCAGTTAGTCACTTCTAGAAACTGCCAGAGGTATTACTTACTTTATCATCATTGGTTCTTTAAATTGGATATATTTCAGAATAGTTCAATGTGTCCCATTCTGAAAACCTTTGAGAATACTTCTTAATATCAAGAAATTGATAAAAGTGTAGACTCATCATAACTGAAAAGAAAGACAGTCATCATCTATTGTCCTATTACATATGACAAAAACAAATTCAGGGAAATTAAATAACGTGCCTATTTTATAAGACTAGATGATAGGTCTTCTGACCTTGTGTTCAGTAACCTGGTCAACCCTCTTCTATTTGTTTATTACATTTCCAATTCCTTTAAGATAACCCTAGTCATAGAAAAACAATCCTGAAATTTATGAAATGACAAAGGACCCTGAAACTTAAGAAAGACAATGAAGCTAGAGGCATCACACTTCCTTACTTCAAAATGTATTACAAAGTATATACAGTAAAAGAAACAGTATGGTTCTAGCTTGAAGACATACATGTAGACCAATGGAACAGAACAGAGAGTGCAGAAATAAACCCACGCATATAGTCAAATGATCTTCAGCAAGATAGCCTTTGCAACAAATGATGTGCAAAAGAATGAAATTGGAATCTTACCTTATACCATATAAAAAAACAATTCACAATGACTTTACTCAAAAAAACCCTTACGTATGAGATCTAAAACTATAAATATAAAAGAAAACATATAGCTAAGCTTCATAATATTGGTCTTGTCAATGATTTCTTGGATACGAAGCCAAAAGTAAATTAGATGAGTGGGACTACTTTACACTAAAAAGCTCCTGCACAGCAAAGAAAACAATCAACAGGGTGAAAAGGTAACCTATGAAATAGGAGAAAATATTTGCAATGCATAAATCTGATTGGGGTTAAAATCCAAAATAAGGAACTCCTAAAAACTCAATAGCAAAAATAATAATAATAATAACCTGATTAAAAAACTGGCGAAGGACTTGGAATAGACATTTCTCCAAAGACATACAAGGGGCAGCAGGTATATGAAAAGGATGATCAACATCACTAATCACCAGGGAAATGCAAATCAAAAGTATAATGAGCTACCATATCATGTTAGGATAGTCATTATCAAAAAAAAGGAAATAAGTGTTGATGAGGGTATGGAGAAATTAGAACCCTTGTGTATTACTGATGAGAATGTAAAATAGTGCAGCTACTAATAGTGCAGTAGTATAGAAGTTCCTCAGTAAAGTAAGACCAATAATCTCACTTCTGGATATCTATCCAAAAGTAGTAAAAACAGTTATCTTGAAGAGATATTGGCAGCATTATTCAAAGTAGCCAAGAGGTGGAAACAACCTAAATGTCCATCAGTGGATGAATGGATAAAGACAATGGGTACATACACACACAATGGAATATTATTATTCAGCTTTAAAAAAAAAAAGTCTGTCATATGGTACAACATGGATAAACCTTGAAGAAATTATGCTAAGTGAAATAAGCTTGTCATACAAGGACAAATACTACATGATTCAACTTATTTGAGGTATCTAAAGTAGTCAAACTCAGAGAAGCAGAAAGTAGAATGGTGGCTGCCATTCTGAGGGGTGAAGGGTGGGGAAAATGAGGAGTTGATATTCAATTAGTATAGAGCTTCAGTCATGCAAGATGAAAAGTTCTAGAGACCTCCTATACGACAATGTGCATATACAGTAAATCTTCACTTAACGAGATTGATAGGTTCTTGGAAACTGCAACTTTAAGTAAAAATGTTTAATGAAACCAATTTTACCATAGGCTAACTGATAATAGATAAGAATTAAGTTCCTACAGCATATTTCTGGTCACAAAAACATTACCACACTTCTAAATAAAGACTCAAAACACTTCTAATATTAACATTGAAATAAATGAGCTGTACTTACATCTAAGAAAGGTTAATAAAAACAAGTAAGATCATTATTTTCCAACCCACTTATTCCAGTTCAGGGTTAAGGGTGGCCAGAACCTCTCCTAGCAGCTCAGGGCACAAGGCAGGGATCCATCCTGGACAGGAAGTTCATCTACTACGGGGCGCACTCCCACACAAACAAACACACTCTCACTCAGACTGGGACCATTTAGACACACCAAATAACCTAACATGCACATCTTTGGGGTATGGGAGGAAACCAGAGTACCCAGAGAGAACCCATGCAGACATGGGGAGTACATGCAAACTCCACACAGACAGTGGCCCCAACAAGGAATGGATTTTTTTTACTAATCAACATTATAATAAAACCACTTTAAACAAAATGACATTATTAGAAGACTTGCTGTAGTTAGCAATAATGTACTAAAAATCTGTTAAGAAGGTAGATTTCATGTTATGTGTTTACTAGCAAAAAAGAGGGAAAAAAGATTTCAAAGTCACTCGTCCAAATGTAGTGATAATTCTCATCAGCTCATTAACAGCTTCTTAGGCCTTAGCAGCAACCGAAGAAAACAGAATATGCTCAGCCTGGAAAGGGAAGTCTTAGCTGTTAGTACATGTTACTATAAAATGGTAATAAGAAAACAAAGTCAAGTGTTGAAGGAAGTTCTTGACCCATATATCTATCAAATGTCTTTTTAAACAGTAATGCTAGTTTAAAAGCCAAATTACCCTATACTTATTATAGGCAGGTGTATTTTTTAATCTTAAAAATTACTACTCTGCCTGTGTATGTACATACACACAAATAATCAGTAACTGTAGCACCATTTAGTATAAAGTTGGCTTATAAAGTATTACCAAGAATAAAAGAAGAAATGACCTTAAATTTCTTGTGACAATAGCCCATATTGCTACAAAGCTCTGGTGAAATTCTTATAAAAGATCTGAAAAGACAAGACAAGACAACCCTCTGGAGTTTGAATCTTCTGGAGTTCAAACCCCACCACCACTATCACCCACATAATAAGCATATCTCTTAGAATGGTAAAGATGCAGTTCCAAGAGAAGACTTTCAAAATGTTTTTAACTATAGCCCACAGTAAGAAAAGTATATATTATTCACAACTATACATCTATATAAAACTAAACAATTTCATTGAATAGTTTATTTAAATGTATATTACTATATGCAGGCAGCTCAATATCTTTATTCCATTTTGCCATTTAATTTTTTAAACAGTTTGTAGTACCAAAATTAATTTCACAAACCAATTATGGGAAGAACCTATGGTCTGAGAAACACTGTACTAGAGCCCCAACATAAATGAGTATCTCCAGCACAGGCCCTAACATAAATGAGTATCTCCACCACAGAACACTTGCTACAGAATTCCAAGGTTCCAAAGCACATAGCAAAATGTCTGTAACAATGAAATTCTGATGCTGTTCAGATATTTATACCTTTGCTCTCTCTAGGTATAGCTGCTTAAATAATTTAAAAGCTGCTCTTTTCTCTGGGAAGTGAAAGGAAAGATTAATATCGCCTTCTGTTCCCAGAACTCTATTCATTTCCAAGGTACACATTAGAGATAAAACCACATGCAGAAGTAGTTCCAGCATGCAATTAGAATTTCTCCAAAAATATAAATGATAAAGCACTACATCACCCTTCTCCTTTCTCAAACAAGATAAAGCAGATTGAGTATGATTTTAAGGGTCAACAGAAAAGGCATGACCATAAAATCAAATAATACTTAGCTGACTTAAGAATAAGAGATTTACAAATGTGTTCAATATTCTTTTTCAAAATCTCACCCTCTTTCTAGCAATACTCCCATAAATTTTTGTTTACTTGCCATCCTGCCACTTCAACTTACTTTTTTACGATAGGAAGAAAGAACAGATGCCTCTAAAACAGGCTCCAAATTCCCTTGGTGGTTGTCATTATCACCTCGCCTTGTACCATCAAGTTGGTGTCCTTTTCTGAGCCTTATATCTGGCTCTGGAGTCCTGCCGTACTCCAATCGGTTTTCCTCTGTCTCGTTCATGGGATACACAAGGCTTTCGTACAAAGAGGTCTTTCTTTCTTTCTGTCCCTTCTTCCTGGGAGGATGGACTTTCAGGATAGTGAGCTGACCCTAAAGAGAGTAAGGTTTTAAATTAACATATTTTAGATAAACACATTAAACAAGTGCTGGGGGAAGACACAGTTATATTATTATACACTCAAACAATAAAATACCCAGCAATCATTAACAACAATAAAAATATAATGTATAATAAACCTATATTTGCTGATAGAAAAGTGCCAAAATCTACTTTTAAATGAAAAACAGGAGGATCGAGACAACATATGTATGTTCCACTTACATATTATAAAGATATCTAATCACATATGTACATAGAATAATTATTGGAAAATATTCAAAATTGTACTCCTGATACAGAAATGCATAGGAAAGAACGTAGAGTCAAGAGTGAGAAGATTTACTTTGCATTTTCTTCTACCTGAATATTTTTGCCATATACATTACTTTTTCAGTTAAAAATGTTCCTAACTGCAGAAAGAATATATGTAGATTTTATGCATCGCAGCTGGGTTTTACATATCTAATCTCATTAAACATCAAAATGACCCTATAAGGTATTTTTATTTCTGCTTCATGGGTAAGAAAATCAAAATTCACCATATTTTGTATGAAATAAATAGGACAAAATCTCTGACTTACATAGTATATATTATTGATAATGGTTTGCACTTAAAATGTTTAATGTCTGACATTTCAATATTTTTTGTGTTGTTTTGAACTCTAACTAGATGACCCTTGAAAAAAGAAACTCAGGACCAGAGCATGCTTTTATATCTCTATGAGTTCTCAGAAAGTGCTATGCACATAAATATTTAATGAACAGATGATAGGTGACATTTCAATGTTCTTAGTGGTAAAAACACTTTCAGAAATCATCAATATTTCTCTAAATTGGACTGTATAATAAGTTCTCTAGGAGTTCAATATTTCAAGTTCTTGATCCCTCTATCTCTTAACTCATAGTACAAAAGCTTATTTTGGACATTTAGTTACATATCCAAAAAAATAAGGCAATTATCACAGCCAATTTGACCAGAATTACTAAAACAGGAAGAAGGCAGGGTACATGTTATGCTCATAAATCCCATGAGAGTCAAAGTTCTTACTGGGGTGAAAGGAGTAGAGCCAAGTGGGAGGGCCTAAATATTATTTTGAAAGATAAAACGTATACTTAGTGTTCATATGTATGATATACAAGACTAATAATACTTAGCCCAAGAATTCTAATTAAACTAAGAATTAATCTGTTTCATAAATCATGTGTTTGCTGCAGGATTTCTCCAAGGGTTTTCAAAAATTTCTGGACCAATGACAAACACAAAACTTTTAAGTATCCCCAAACCTGGGCATAGGCATATCACATAAGGGCCTGAGCAAACATATAATAATACTGCAATTATAAACTATCTATTAATGCCCAATTCTGAAAGAGGAAACAATGTTAATGATTTACATTCATTTATTTACAGTTCACAAAGCTATTTCATACCCACCATTTTGTTCTGATTCAGGGAAGAGGGTGTTACCATTTATTGTGGATCAACAAAGTTAAATTCTATACCAGAGAATTTACATGTGGTATTTCACATAATCCTCATATAGAGCCAAGGAGTTTTATCTCTCATTTTACAGATGTGGAAAGTGAGGCTCGGAGATTAGGTAATTTATTCAAGGCCTTAGTCCATTAAGAGGAGTGGCTGGGTTTTATACCCAGGTCCTTCTGGCCCTCTGAAATTCATGTGTTTTCTACTACCCCAAAAAATTAAGACTAGGAAAAAAAGATAAAAACTTGAACCTGTGGACCAAAAAAGAGGGGTTCTGTAATAAAATCGACAAGTCCAGTGATGGAAAGAAACTTCACGGGTAATAAGATCATGAATTCCTAACTGGGCAGGTCATGGTAGGCAGTCAAGCCTCAGGTGTATAACTGCTTTAGTAAAAGGTTTAAGCAAGCCCTGTCCATTCTTCTTGCGTATCTAGGTTAACCCACCTTTGAAATGCCAGAATAATCCTCTATTCCAGACTGCCCAAGGAGCATATAATCTTAACTATCCTGTACCTAGCTTTTTCCCACCTTCATGTAATCTTTCTTAGTTCTCGCCTTAATTCCAAAGGTATAAAAGAAACTGTAAAACTGTCATTCTCTAGAGCATCTGAGATCTTGCTTCCTAGTAACTCTTATCGGTTTTGCTTAAATAAACTCTAATAAAAATTCTCTACAGATTTGGACATTTCCTATATCAACAAACACTAAAGTTATTTGGTTTACATGACAAGTAAACTAAAGACTCATAATCTTTATTCTCAAAAGTAGCAAGTAGAATAAAGCTTTCAGCAAAGTAGCCTTGAAATATGACCACTAAACTTCTTATAAGCAGGAGCTATGTATGGAGAGATGTTGTTCACTTATGAGAACATAAATGAAATGCTCTATTAGTTATTGTTTTGTAATCCTCAATTCAGAAAAAGAAAGCAAATGACAAAAGTTTTCCCAAAGACTTTGTAAAGGATTCTCCTTAAAAAGAAATTTAAAAAATCAATTTCCAGGAAAGGCCTGAGATCAAAATACAGTCCTATCAACAATGTTTTCTAAATTTACAAGTACAATATAAAAAAAGAATGAACAAATAAGCCACTATAAAATCTTCAATCAAAAAAAATTATATTCATCATTTTACATTTGCTAAAGCAGGAAGGCCTATCACTATATTTTAGAGTTTCAATAATAGAACTGTTGAAGGAAAAAGCATTTATGTCAACCCTCAGGTTCTCAAAGATTTAACAAAACACCCGATCTAAGAATACTGGAGAGAACTGTAATTTACTACACATTTTAATTTATTTGCATTCTCTCTAATGATACAATGAATTTCTACTAGGATGCAATGCCTTGAAATCTAAAGCAATCAATTCTAAGAGTCTAAGGTAAAGTCAGAGATAAAGTAAAGGTGTCCTTTATCATCATTATTTAACTCTGTCCTGGAGTTAGACAACTAAACAAGAGGAAAAAATGAGAAGTATAAACCAACAACTATTTATAGATTATATGTCGCTTTAGCTATAAAATCCAAAAGAATTAACTTAAAAAAAAACCTTTATAATAAGAAAATTCATCAAAATGATTGAGTATAAAATTAATATATGGATATCAACAGCCTCCATCCCCAAAGCCCACAATATTTGGTTGTTATAGAAGAAACTAATATATTACAATAGGAAAAAAAAAGATAAAATACTTCAAAACAAACCTTAAAATGCTACTGAAGATCTACAGAAACTCCTAGGACTACTAAGTGAGCTCAGCAAGGTCAAGAGATTGAACACAAACACAAATATCAATCATATTTCTACATACTAATAATAAACATGTAGAAACTGAAATTTAAAACACTATCATTTACAATTACTCCAAAAAATTTTAAATACTTACACTTAAAATATGCATAAGATCTGTTTGCTGAAAATTACAGAATGCTAATGAAAGAAATTAAAGATCTAAACAAATAACATATACTCATGGACTGAAAGACTCAATACAGTAAAGAGGTCAGTTCTTTCCAAATTATTCTATAGGTTTAATGCAATTCCAAAATCCTAGCAAGGACTGTAGATAAAGACAAGCTTACTCTAAAATTTATAAGGAAGGCACAGCCCAGAATAGCTAGAACAAATAACCTGAAAGACAATAAAGTGGAAAGAATCCCTCTAAAATGAAGGCCTGTTACATAGCTACAGTAGTCAAGACAGTGTGGTATTAGCAGAGGAAGAAACCCATAGATTGATAGATCAGAAAACAACCAAAAAATAGACACACAAGCCCAACTCTTATTTTATAAACATGCAAAAAAGAAGCTTTTTCAACAAATGGTGCTGGAACAATTGAACATCCATAGGTGGCACAGGGAGAAGAAAGAGGAAGAACAACAAAAACAACAACCTCAACTTAAACCTCAAGCCCTATACAAAAATTAACTCATAATGGATCATGGACTTAAATGTAAAATGCAAAACTATAAAACTTTTATTTAAAACAAAGGAAAAAATCTTCAGGATATATAGCTATGCAAAGAGTATATTGAGACTTGACAACAAAAGCATGATCCATAATAGGGAAAAATGATAAACTGGACTTCATCAAAATTAACTTTACTGTGAAACACTCAAAGAAGTTGAAAACACATGTTGCAGAGAAAACATTCGTAAATCATATATCCAACATAAGACTATTATCTAAACCATAGAAAGAACTCTCAAAATTCAATAGTAAAAAAAATACTCCAATTGGAAAACGGACAAAGAAGAACAGATATTTCACCAAAGAGGATATACAGACAAGAAAAAATGTTCAACATCATTAGCCATCAGAGAAATTAAAATTACAATGAGATATCACAACAAACCTACCTAATCAGAATAGGTGAAATACAAAACAGAAAACAGGAGAAATGACTTCTGCCACAGTGCGAAGAATTCCACTGACCTGCTCCCCAGTGAAACTCATGAAAAGTATATTTTTTAAATGATTAAAAGCCTCTGGAAACAGTCTTAAAGTCAAACAGACATTAAAGAACATCTACAAAACTTCAGTAGGAAAGGCAAGGGTCAGTTGTATTTGAACAAAGATGTCTCTTTTCCTCCCTGCCCTCTCCGAACTCTGAGGGTCAGAGACTCCACACCAGACCCTTGCAGCCAAAAATGCATGGCTCCCTCTGACCAAAGCACTCAAAGAGGTTTCTTCCCTACAGGAAGAATATGTCAGTGTTTCTCATTGTGCTGAGGCTGAGTCCCAGATAAGCACAGTTAGAAGTAGGGGCTCCCTTCTTCTTATCAGCCTCACTTGTGGAACTGAGGCACTACCTTGATTATGCTATGCTGGGAATTCCGGGCTGGTAATCATTCTTGACGCAGCTCATGAGTTGGTAGTTCTACAACAGGAGAAGCGAGCAGAGAGGACCTGAGGCCACTGCACACTGACCCACCAAACACTCATCTCCTAGAGTGGGGCTGTCACTCAAAGAAACATGTCATTGTCCTCATCCCCATGTATC